CTTGAAAGTTTTCAAAAAAAAGTAATTATATAAAGTTGTGTCAAACAAAGCTTATGATTAGTAAGCTAGGCTAGGCTTTGGAGATATATGAACTAATTTAGGTGAAAATTTGTTGGCACAGAAAGGTATGGACCAGCCCCTCAGTCTGGACCAAATGGTCTATGTCCTTAGATACACTGTTTGGCTAGAGAATAATTTAAGTTGGCTCCATGCAGCTGTGTACACATAAATAAGCAGCAGTTGAACTTGGTTCTCAGTGCTATCATTAAAATAAAAGTTTTGTGGAAGACATCAACATATAAACTACACAGTTCTCTCTCTCTCTCTCTCTCTCTCTCTCTCTCTCTCTCTCTCTCTATGTATTTCTTTCTCCCTCTCTTTCTTTCTCTCTCTCTATGTATCTCTTTCTCCCTCTTTCTCTATGTATCCCTTTCTCTCTCTCTTTATGTATCTCTCTCTCTATGTATCTCTCTCTCTATCTCTATCTTTTTCTCTCTCTACATAAATATATAGCTAAAACCAAGAGAATTTGTGTTTCTATGTATTGAGACATAACATGCCAACTTGTGCATTTTATTATTACCATTGATGGTGATGTCAAAGACCAATCGGTTTTGATATCATAGATTTCTTTTGTGAGGGGTGGGAAGATGATGAATTTTTTATTCTTTTAAAAATAATTTTATTCAATGTAATATAAAAATAGTAATATATATTATTAAGTCATATAAAAATATTGAGTTCAATCTTATATGAGAGTATATAACTTTATCAAGTGGTTGATATATTCTTATAGACCAAAATTTTTAGGTTAAAATGGATTTAGCATAGAGCTAAACAATTATCATCCTTTTATTCGTAGATTAATAAATGGTGTCAAAATAGATGATTCGATTGAGACTAAGGTTTTTGTTTGGGAAGAGTTTTTTTATCACTTTGTAAAAAAGTTATAGAGAAAATAACTTTTTAAAATTGTTATATATAAAAAAGCAGCTATTTAAGCCTCAACATTGATCTGTAGCTGTTAATATCATCGTAATAAATATTTATTTGGACTTATGATGATTTTAACGGGCTGTCAAAATCGAGTCACAGGTTAGATTCGGGTCCAACCCGAAACTGACCCGGCATAACTCGACCCAACCTGAACTATTTTTGACAACGGGTCAATTTTTTGGACCCAAACTCAACCCACTTCGGGTTTGGGTTAACCTCATGAACCCAACCCACTTCGGGGTTTGGGTTAACCCGACCCGACACGAAATACCTGAAACTTGGAAGAAGAAGTGCGCGAATGGCATGCCGAAGAAGCACGTGAATGGAAAGCCGATAGATGGTCATGGCACGCCAGCGAGGAACCTGAAACTCCGTCTGCAGACTCTGCTCCGCGTCAAAGACAGGCGGCGAGGCAGCAATGGCGCCTAACGGACCGAACATTGACGGAGGACGCGATCAGCATTCGACAATGCCCTTGTGGGCTTGACACAGATAAACGTTGTCAGGATGCGGACGACTCGACTGATAGGGGTTCAACATCTGCGACTGATGGGGATGCGATGGATGGACAAACATACTCAACTAATACGGTCTCGACATATAGATAGAGCATGAAACGGGTCAAATCGGGTCAGATTCATGTTTACCCAAAAACTCGATTTTACAAACGAATCGGAAATTCTAAACCAGACCCGAAATTTTCTAGTCAGGTTCAGGTCGGATTTCGAGTCGTGTCAAATATTGACACCCCTAATTTTAACCGCCACTAATTCAACCTTCCAAAGTTTTCAACCACTGCTAACAAAAATAGCTGCAAAACTATAAGTTTCAACAATTAAAGCTTCATCTGGGACAGTTTCCTTACGGCTTTCTCCAACATTTTTCTAACACAACTTTAAAAAAAACGAAAAAAGCAATAGCCCAAAACTATCCCAAACAAACTCTAAAACCGCTATCATCTTAAACATCATAAAAATCTTTTTACAGCAACCACAAAATCATTGCCGAAGAACTTTCCAACTGCTAGCAATCACAAATGGTAGGGAACCACTGCAAACTTTTTCCCCCCCAACGGTCAAAATCATCAGTGACACCCTATAAAATCACTTTTAAAAACAGCTTATTGCTTTTTAAATTTAAACAAAGCATTCACATAAAATAGTAAACGATAGAACGCTCCAATCTCAAAGACAGCTGCACCCCACTCTCCAAAATGAAAGACCAGAAGTCTCTGCATTATGAGCAGTGCACATGCTCTCATATATTATCAGCACCATTGCTTTCAGCTGCTCTATCTTTGTCCATTTTCTTAGGTAGATAAAAGAAAGAGTCATGCCGTGGATTGCGCCAGCGACTGCATGTCCAATCATTAAGGTCTTGTTTGGAATAGCTTTCTTAATGCTTTTTAAAATAACTTTTTAGTATAAAATTTGTTTAAGTTTTAAGTTTTTGTATTAAAAAACTGTTTTAAAAAGAAGTGAGAAATTTGTCCCAAAAAAAAGCCAAAATTATTAATGGCTGCTCATCCCAATTATTAATACTGTATAAATAGTGTTTTGATGAGCCAATGGGCCATCACCAAATGATTTTTATCAATATGTTTATAATATTGAATCTATCAAAGATTTTCAGCTTATCATCTTCAAGCACATGCATGATCATTCAAGATATAGTATTTAATATAAAGAAAAATATGTTCAGTGTAAAATAAAGAAAAATATATATATTCTCATATCCTTTCAGATTATATATATAATTTAGGATATGAGAATAGAGATATTATGCAGCTCATCTTGATCCGTTGGTTGGGTGCTTTGACTATTAACCAAGAGGTCTTGAATTTGAAGCTTACATATATTATATGGTGTGAATTTGTCTTAATTGTTATTTGCATCTGTTAAATACCATCGGTTTTAATCGCTGGGATAGCCAAACATAACCCTAGGTCTTAAACCTGGTCGGACGTTGGCTTCTTAATCTTGTTCTCTCGCGCTTTTGATATCCACCCTTCATGGCCTGCATGCGAGCATGATTCCCTCTTCCCGTTCTTTTATTCTTCATGCATAAATCTTAGTATTCGATCGGAGAGTGAGTCGACCAACTGCGTAAAAGTATTAAATCCGTCCGCTCGTGTCCAACTCTTAAAACACTTGCAAAGAAAAAAAATGGTGGTTATAACCGTCAGTATAGGTCAAAATTTATGCTACGATAGTCCTATTTTTTGGTAGAGCTCGTACCATATTTTAACAACAAATTTATTAATTTGAGGTGAACTATTGGTTGATGTTCTCTAAAACTTTTAAGAATAAGCTCCTTCAATGGGGCTCTTTATATTATGTATTTAAAGAATGAAGTTGCACAGTCTTTTTTCAGTAGAGAGTCACCATCAATGATCAATCAATTAATAGAATGAACATAATAACCACTTGGTTAAGAGGCCATGGAGATGGAGAACAACCTACAAAATTAGCAATATAACAATCATCTTTAGAACGAGGAACTCTCCTAAATTAACTATTTATAACAAAATCTCCGGTCGTACAATCCTATCTAGGCGTATAATGCATATCATTTTTGTAGAAGATATTCCAAATATGATTAATGCTTCATTTGGTACGGCTTTCTTACTGCTTCTTAAAGTAGTATTTTAGTACAAAAAATATTTTTTTATACTAGAAAACTGCTTTGAGAAGCAGTAAGAATGTCGTCGCAAACAAAGCCTAAAACAACTCCAATAACATTGCAGAAATTTCAAGATATATAGAAGATAGGAGATTATTTGTTACGATATTAACTCTTCAATGCTATGAGATTAAGAAATTTGCAATAAAAATTTTGTTTTATTAGAAAGAAATTTTGCCATCCCATTATATTTAATTAGCTACAAATTGGCATATGCGACTCAAAATTATAAAATTATTTGGCATAAATTTCCTTACTAAATTTAAAAAGGTTGTAGCAAAGTGGGCCGTTTACTGTGGGCTAACTCGCATGCGGGTATTCCTAAACTGGGCCAAATTAGAAATACACAACCTCTTCTGTAATGAAATGGGCCGTTTGTTTTAGTTACTATTGGGCTGCTTTTGAGACCGGTTTATAAGTAATTTTAAAGGAAAATTTGCGGTTGACCTATCCCCAATTTATTTCAGAATTGATGGAAGCAATAAAAAGCAATTATATGCTTCTAATAGTTTAATATTTGCCTCTCTACTTAGGCTTCATTCGAGACGATTTTTCTTGATGCTTCTTATAGCAATTTTTTGTATCAAAATTTTAATTTTTAAATTAGAAAACTACTTTAAGAAACAATAAGAAAGCCGTCCCAAACGAAACATTAATCATTCACCATTTCCTTCTCATTTCTTCTACTACTACATGTGTATGAAAAAAAAAATGGAGAGATCGAGCTGAAAGAGACATAAATGAGAAAAATGGCTACAACGGTGCAAAATAAGCTGTTGAAATGCTCGCCACCTCCTTCTACTATACATTAAATCAACAAATTAGGTTTCGTTTGGGATAACTTTCTTATTGCTTTCTAAAACGGCTTTCTAGTACAAAAATTTTTTGAACTTGAAATTTTTGTATTAGTAACCTGCTTTAGAAAGTAGTTAAAAAACCGTCCCAAACAAAACTGAATTCATTTGGGACGGCTTTTTTACTGCTTCTTAAAGCAGCTTTCTGGTGCAACAAATAAAACTTTTATACTAAAAAACTACTTTAAGAAGCAATAAGAAAGCCGTCCCAAACGAAGCCTTAGTATCAATGATAAGCACTTCCAAGTATATATATTTTTTTCTTTGAAGTTGAGTATTAGCTAGATATGTTCTTTTCATGTGAATTTTATTCATCCATCAACTACACTGCATATACTTGCAACAAGCTAGTATACAACTACATCACATATGTTAAGAGATATACAGTCACAGAAATTATTTATATGTTTTCATATCTGCAACCATGCATGAAGTTATATTCTATGTATCTATCATGAACATGATTGTTCATGCATCTTCAAGCTGTAAAGCACAGGGTGGTGGGATGACTGTCCCTTCCTTGGACCACTTGACATTTGCACAGAAGCTCTTAGCTGAGCCACCACCATTTTTAACCAAGTCGATGTCCTCTAATACTATCCCACTGCATGGAAAGCTTTTGCTGCAGTTGAAATTCATTGCAAACTTCGAAGCGCTTGTTCCTTTGATGTTACTGTACTGTACATTGCTCACTTGCACAGCAGATTTCTGCATAGAATAATATAATAACTTTTATTCATAAATATTCATGTTTTTTTGTCTGATATCTTCTCTAAAAGTTTAAGGTTTTGTTTAGGACAGTTTTTTTTTATTGTTTTCTAAAGCAAGTTTTTAGTATAAAATTTTTTACTAGAAAATTGCTTTATAAAAGAGAAAGAAAGCTGTCTCAAACGAAATCTTAGATTATACGTTCATAGTTTATATTTTGGTTTGTGAGTTCTTATTGATCATTTACCTGTTGACCACACGGCCTTTTGGAGTCGCAATAGTTTTGGTCTATGATGATTGGATTTTTGACATTGCTCATTTCAATGTTTTTGAATACAATGTTCTTAGCATAGCCTTTTCCACCCTAAAAAAGAGAGAGAAAAAAAAAAAAACATGTTGATGTGAGCATGAGGAAATGAAATAATATGATTGATTTTATTTGTTTGTACTAAGTTCATAGTATTTATGAACCTAAAGATTGAAGAGATGCATATAGTTATTTTCTTTATTATGATGCTATTCTTAAATTTAAGATCTTAATTGATCCTTAGATGACCTAATTAATTTGATCATTTTTTACTTTTAGATTAGTGTAATTTATGCTATGTATATATCTATTGAATTTACTTTTAGATTAGTGTAATTTATGATTAATCAATGAAAATTTATATCATATTTATATCAAAATCAAATGTATGAATTTTGTTCCTTAATTTAATTAATTACCTGCCATGTCTTAATACGAACTCCATTTGAAGTACCACTAAATTGTGCAGTGTTTACAGTCACACCTGAGACTTGGGCAGTGGAGCCCTTTGCTCCCAGACTTCCAATGCTAGATAACATTAATAATTAAGGAATGTTAAAATACATTAATTAATGCAATCAATCATAAAACACATCCAATTTCATTTAAATTAATAAAGCCAAATAGATATAACATTAAGGTTTCATTTGGGATAGCTTTTTATTGCTCTCCCAAATGAAGCCTAAGTTTATTTTTTATATGCACCTGATTCCATGACCTGGGCCACAAATTATGTTATTGGCATGCACATCCTGAGATCCAGTTACAATTGAGATACAATCATCTCCTGTAAGTTGCAATAATATGACAGAAATAAATTTACCATTTTTACCAAATAGAGGTAAATATTCACCCGAAACATCATGTGTATATATATGTCAATGATATTATACATACCAGTAGCAATGGTGCAATGATTGATGGTAATATTTTGTGTTCGTGTGACATGGATTCCATCTGTATTAGGGCTATTGCCTGGTGCACTTATACTGAGACTCGAAACTATAATATTCTTGCTATTCTCGAACTCCACGTGTATTTGTTGGCTATTTATCACATTCAAGCTCTCTACTCTCAACCAATTACAAGAATTAAAAGTCAAAGCCTACATTAAAAAAAAGTAAAATTATTCATTTATTTATATGTCAAGAATATTAATTTCATGTAATAATGTAATTTATATGATGATTACATACCGTAGGTGCATCTTTGCATGGCTGAAATAGGTAGTTTTGTACGTACAAAAAGGCAAGAAATCAAATTAACATGTAAGTACAATTAAATACATATAGATGAGGATTTAAGAGCAAAAATCAAGGCTTCATTTGGGACAACTTTTTTATTGTTTTTTAAAGCAGCTTTTTAAGAAGCAGTAAGAAAACCGTCCCAAACTAAACCTAAATAAGGAGGAAAAAAAAAGCTTACTTGTGATTTATCTACTTTGCATGATTTTTGCCACCAAACCTTTCCATTGCCATTGATGGTTCCACCTCCTAGAACAGCAAGATTGTTTACTTTGTTGAAATAAATCCAAAGCCTTTGATTCTTTCCATTCCAATCTGATGGGTTTGAAGAAGCTTCAATTGTCCCTTCAATCTGAAAAAAAATTATATTTATGCACAAATATTAATGCATTAGAGACCTTATATAACTTTGATGATTTGATTTATATATGATGAATGTTATGGTCTCACCATGACTGAAATATCTGAGTTGCAGGGGCCAGAAAATGTGATGGGCTTCAATAGGTATGTGTTACCCTTAGGAATCAATAGAGAGACTGGGCTATCAGAGGAGCAAGCTGCATTCCATGCCTTTTCAAATGCCTTGCAAAATAAGGTAATTAAGTAAAATAGATGTGAGAAATGGCTTTTATAGATGAAGTAATGATATTATTGTTATGCATAATTACATGGAGTTTCATATAGAATTGACATGTAAATATTTATGAGTGCTTTCAAGTATATTTGTAAATATGTTGGCATAGAATAAAGATTGATCATCTTCATTTAATATTATAAAAAATAGTAAGTTGCAATTGTATTTTTTTATCAACAACATTGATACGTCGTCAAAAATCGCTTTAATCGAATATGGATCTCGAGATATATTTGATGAATTAGAAACTTTTAAAATTAAATTTGGGATCATCCAAATTATAATTTAAGCAAACTTATAGCAAATTGAACGTCTCGACGAGACAAACTAAATGACATCAAACAATGGTCCAATCTGAGCCCCAATATGCCCAAATCAAGGGCTTGAAGAATATTTAAAAGATTCATGACATTAGTTGGACAACTAAATTAACTTCAAATTTGACATACTTATATTGAAATCAAGTGGCTTGATGAGACCAATCGAATGAGCCCAAGAATGTATGATATTCTAGCAACGTTTAAGCACATGAATGTTGAATTAACAATTTATGATAGAGGGAATCAATATAGTCCATTCGATGGAGTGCTCCGGATTTGCAATAGATTTTTTACTTTTTTATAGGTCATGCCACTACAAAAAATATATAAATAGGCCCCCACTCCAACTTACATGAAGTGGGGCGTGGACCCTAGGCTAGGGAGTGAAGAGAGCACTATGGCTTGAAAAATCTCGAGGCTCCATCTAAGCACTATTATGGATGAACCCTCGCTACCTGGCCATCATCGCCAAGCCTCCTTTCGATTGCCGCCATAGGAACTTTCATTTAAAGACCATCACAGCCGAATTCCTCCACGATGTTGTTGCAATCTTACCTCTGTTGAATTACAGTTGTCACACCTTTTGTAGGCCAACCACCTCCCTCGGACCACTATCACCTAATTATAATTCATCTGACCTCCATCACCCGACTATGGTCCCTCTGACCACCATCGCTCATCTACGATCCCACCAACCTTCGTCACACAACTATGGTCTCCCCGACCTCAAGCCCTCAATTATGATCCCTCTAACTATCGTCACCGAACAACAATCCATCAAATCTCCATCATCATACTACAATCCCTCCGACCTTAGTCGTTTGACTATTGTCCCTCTAACTTCTATCGCCTGACTACAGTAGCTTTGACCTTATACGATTCCTCCGACCACTGCCCCTCCAACCTCCAAGGGCCGACTATGATCTTTCCATTACTCTAGCTCGTCTATGATCCCATGCATTGACCTCCATCGCCCTGCTACGTATGGTCGATTCGACCTTGGTCGTCCAACTATGATCCCTCCTCCTACCACCATCTCCTAACTACAGCCCCTACAACCTTTATTACTTAACTACCATCCTTCAACCACCATTGCCCGCTACGTTCTTCTAACCACCATCATCCGATTACGATCCTTCTAACCAAACAAGTAGGCAAACGATCTCTTAAGAACATCTCTCATGCCATTAAATACATTCTTCCAACTACAATCATATAATGTGTTCTATACAATGTGTATTTACTATATTGAGCCAATGTCTTCCCCCGAGAAAAGGCGTCATTTCTAATTAGTGGGGAAAATTGGTGAAATCATTTCAACTATGCCAAGTCCCGCAATTTTTCTCTTTCTTGGGTTTTTTCACTTAAAAAATCAAATGTCTCTTATAACTCTTGCACCTTCTCTCTTAATTATATTTATGTGTGCTGGATCTTCATGTAAAACTAGGGTCATTAAACTCACTATCTCTCCAACATACGACAAACATAAAATAGAAAAAAAATATTACAATATTAAAAAAAAAACAAATTTAACCTTACCATGGTATCATCGGCTCCACCACCTTTTGCACCATAGTCCTCCACACTAACCATTTTCTCATTTGATCTTCCTCCAAAGTTTCTTATTTGATCAATGCTCCTCACCAATAGACCCCCTTCATCTCCTTCCATCTCCTTATAAAAGCCAGCAGCATAAGCCCCCACACCATGCAAAGAGAAAGCTCCCAAAGAGCTCACATCTTGATCAAAGTCAGCCACACATGAGGAGAAGCCTTCAAATGACAAAATGAGGAGAGAAAACAACAGAATCATTTTTTAGCTATATCGAGAGAGAGAGAGAGAGAGAGATATAGAAGAAGAAGAAGAAGAAACAATATCAATGCAGATATTCAGAATAACTACAGATATAAGAGAGACCAGATGATTACTTACCCATGCCTTGATGCTCACATATATATACATATAGTAAGTTGAGGTATGGCAATGAGAAGACATATTTAGAGAGAGAGAGAGAGAGAGAGAGAATTATTTTCAGCAGAGATTGAAACGTGAGGGTCTCTGATCATCACCCTTTCTTTAATCTTCCATCACATCAGTGTTTGCCACGTGTCTTATTTATTTTCCTCCATAACCCCGGTGCCAACGAGTCAAGCCCAGCTAAAGTCACCTATCATTTGATCTTGAATTTGATTAATTAATCGAGTTTGAACCTGCTCACAAGTCAGCTCATTTATAATTTTTATAATAAAAAGCTTAAAAATTGAAAAGTTAGAAGAATAATAATGAAAAATCACGTAATATCAGAAAACCCTAAATTGAATATATAATTTTAAGTGAATTTTATATTAATATTTTTTAAATGATCCATCACACGATCGAGCTAAAGATTCGAGTCAGGACTGGCCTACTCAAGCTTAGCCCTTCAGTTCATGGAGTTCAGCTCACGAGTCATTTATTGAGTCCAACCTGAACTGGACGTGTCAGCTTGACTCACTTACCCATCTCCCATAGCAATATATTTACTCGGCAGAGGTTCAATTACATTGTTTGATGTCTTTCCAAATTGATCAAATATCACATCATAGGATAAGCTAAAGATGGCTTCCTGTACTTAACTGAACACAGTGCATGTAACTATTTAGGTTGACAAATTTTGTATAGAGAATTCTTATTAAAATTTGTCTACAAAAATTTCCTCAAAAAGTACTGTTACTTCCTTAATTTTTACAAGTTTTAGTAAAAATAAAAAAGAATCATAAGAAATCAATTAATTACATTTTTATTTAATTAATAGATTTAAAAATATATTGTTTTTTTCTTGCACAAAAATTGTATTTATTTTCTGCAAGAAAATAATAAAAAATATTAAAATATTGATAATTTTCTTTTAAATAAAAGAAAAGGGTTAAAATAATGGAGATAATTATTTATTTTTAGTTTTACTAATTAAAATTACATAGGATATAAATTCATGCATGTGAATGAACAGAGAAAAGTTTTTATGCGTTTATTAGAAGGGTCTATGTTCAGTGCATTTATTTCTTTTTTCATTAAATATTTATTTATATATAGATGAATATTAAATAAAATATTTTATTATAAAATTTTTCTAATTTAATGTATGCTAAAAAAATTCTCTTCATAACTACTATAAATTTGGGGTAGTTCTGTAAATATTTAACATTTACATTTTGCCATCTTTGTGGTTCAAGCATTATGCTCATGGATTTTTAAGATATTTATTTCTCTAGTTTAAGATCAAGGGTCTACTTAGGATGGCTATAGCATTTTATAAAGATGATTATGAAGCTGTTGTGAGAAAAACAACTTTTATATATATATATATATATATATATATATATATATATATATATATATATATATTATAAACCTTAGTTTCAGATTACTTATGAAAATGAACTGATAGCCAAACTATTTGTTGGCTTCAAGTATTTAAGGACCTGAATTGCAGCAATTACTTGTAAGAATCAACTCATATAATTAGTTAGTTAATCCAATTTGATTTCAATTGTTTCATTAGCTGTTAAACATTAAAATAATCATTAATCAACTGATTAATTAAGAATATTTTGTAATTATTTGATTAATTAACAGATAATCTGTCGTTAATCACAGTATTTCGTTGAAGATTTCTGTAGGATCTCTCTGATCAAATCTGATGCAAATGTGAAACAAAGAAGTCAGCAAATCAATTGAAAGAGATAATTAATGATGTCATTAACAGTATATAACCTTACTTAGTCTCGAAAACTAACTAATATTAGTATAGAGAAGACAGATCTTTACGTGTATCTTAGTGCAAGTAAAATATATTTAAGTACTGTTATATTTTGCTTGTCTCAATTAAATTTAGCTTTGACTCACGCCATCACGATTGTTTATATTTCATGTATTATTCATTATATATTGTAAGAGGATCAAAATTATTTTTATTTTTATAATTTTATCTTACCATTTTATTTCTTAATTATTATTATCATTATTAATTATAGATCATATATAATTTTAAATTTTAAGGCTATGAGAAGAATGCATTTTATTAATTTTTATAATGACTTAGGGTTTGTTTGGGGTATCTTTCTGGTTGCTTTGTTCTTTTAGCTAATAATAACAATTTTATTTGGTTGTTGCATTCTTCTGTTTTCTCATTGCTTTTTAAAATTTTTTATAATGAAAAGTTGTTTTTGTAATCAAAATAGCAAAATTATTTTCTCCACAACATGCAGCTGTATTATTATGTTTATTTAATGCTACAGTTATCACAAACAGACCCTTAGGATCTATTTGGGATGGCTATAGCTTTTTGTGATGATAATAGTAAAGCTATTATGAGGAAAGTATTTTTTTTTAAAAGCTGATGTAAAAAAATAGCTTGTTGATATATAAATTTCATAAAAAAAAAATGAAAGCAACAGTTAAATAAAATTGAGTGAAAAGCAAAACAGTAAGAAAGTTATCACAAATTGTCTCTTAATCGGTCATTAAATATTTTTTATAAAATTGTAATAATTAGGGTGGGTGATATGTAAAAGTCATGCAAAAAAGCAAATAATCACATCATATTTAAAAAAAAAAAATCTTTAATATAAAATGTGAGAGATAGAGAGAGAGAAGTAAATTTTGAAGTCCTAAATGAGGATAAAACCAATTCCATTTGGCCAATTACTTGTTAGGTATCTAAGCATGGGCAATTGCGCTTTCATATCACCTTCATCAACATCACCACAACTTTCAAAGCAAAACCACACGTGTCAACCATCCAAAGCTCACACGTGTTTACACATGTGATATTAGTTTGACACTTGTCTAATCTCAAACCTAATTATCTCTCTAATCAAAGTAATTTATGAATGGAGCTAAGATTAGAACATAGCTAGCTTGTAAGCATAAATGGTTTGGATTACCATAAATGGTATGGATTAGTTGAAACTAATTTCTTGAGTGTGTGTAACTGTATGACTGCTCCTAACTTGCTAGAGAGAAGAACAAAGGTGTTGAAAATAATGAGAGATTAAAAAAAATATATTATGATAAGTTTGATAGCCCTTGGATGTGCATTGAGATTAGTGCTAGACTAATATTGATGTAAATCTAAAAGGCTAACAAAATTGTATATTAAATAAGGCATGATATCCTTTGACAAAATTTATTATAATATTTTTTTAGGATATTAAACTTTTATATTATATATATAAACAAAATAATTTATTGTCTAGGTCTTAATATTGCATATCAATTGATTTGGCAATAATAATGGAGTTTTAGCTATTAAAGATATGAGAGAAGTGCAAGTTCACACTTTCCTCGCAATGTCATTGTGGGAGTAAATAACCTTATGAGGAGAGGAAAGTTATACACAAAATTCTTAAGGGTCATTTTAACTAACTTGACAATGAGCGAGGGATAAAAAAGATACACGTTGTTGAAAAGAAGAATAAAAATCCAACAAGTGAGTATTACAAAGATAACGATCAACCTTGGTGCGGAAGTGATCGTTAATTTGATTATTGAACTGAGTAAAGGAAAGATTTGAACTCGAAAGTCCCAACAACCCGAGCTCAAAAAGATAATTATTGAAGTAAGTCATGTTGGATCTTGTAGTTTGCCTCAATCTTTTTTAACCAACCAATGTTATTAAAGCTTGATAATTCAATCAAAGATGTTCAAATTTTCTTGCTATAGAGAACATCATTGATAGCATAAATAAAGGTAACTGATAACTGAATATATGTAGAAAAAAGTAATATTCTTGTTAATGAGACAAGAGGTAGAAACTAAGGTAGTAAATGTAGTCCTCAACTGGTTTCATTTGATCCAAATTCTTCCACAAAGGCAACTTTGAACATTATTGTAGCAACTTTTTATTGAACAAATTATACATCCTCCTATTAAGAAAAAACATTCACCAATTTGATCATATTAATGTTAGTATCAAAGAAGCAAATTAGAACAATGTAAAAATTCTAGAACATTTTCCTACCATCCAAAACAAGAAATTATGATACATACCATAACCAAAAAACTTACCCTAAGTTCCCTAACCGCCTACCGACATATGACCCTACTTGTCATTACCTTTAAAAACCCCACCTCTTATCACAAAATGTAGAATATGTAGTACCAGATAGAAGACTTTTTAGGGCATCCATTACTAAAGAGAGGCAGAGCGATGAAGAGTAGAGCATTGTTTAAGATAAATGATATATATGTCATCGAAACTTATTCTTAAATAGGCCTAAAAGATATATGTGAATGTTATGAACCATAAAGTTCAAATATTTGTTTAATTAAAATAGAAGACTAGCTAGCATCTCCCCTAGCTACTATGCTCTAGGCTCAAATACTAACACTACCTAATTCATGAGACCAAACCCACAACATTACTAGTTCATTTCTACTACTTTGAATTGTTTGAATAAATTGATGCTCAAGCTAATCTTTGTCATAGGACGTTATCAATCTTGTGAATGTCCTTCCTCAACTAGATCCCGTTATGAATTTCTCATGTCTTCTTCTTCATGTGATACTACAGATCCTATCGAAGGACTTCCCAGTAATATTTTATCGCAACTTTCTCTTCTCGATCGAGAGTTTTGAGATTTTTAATAAATAGTTTCTCAATTTTGAGTGTAATAAGTGGAGTAAATAGAGTGTTAATAACTTAATAGCAAAGGAAAAGTTTAAGATAGATATTTAAATATTAATAAATAATACATAATATAAATAAGTATAAATCCCCTTAAAATGTTATACAAGTATAACCTTACCTAAATTATATAAGAATGAATTTAAAATTATTAAATTTTCTTAGATTAAGATAATATATAAAAACTATATATCGCATCAACTTTAAAATATTAATAGTTTTTAAGCCTATTATGATTTATATAAACAAATTATGGATCTATTTGGGACCACTATAACATTTTATAAAATTGATTGAGAAGAAAATAACTTAACTATTTTGTAAAAAAAAAAAAAGCTTTTTACCCCAATTTTTTTTTTAAATAATGAAAAAATAGCAAGAAAGAAATAGCATTGAACATTTTTATTTAGTCATTTTTTTAATTATTTTTAGTAAATATTTATACTAAAAAGTTATTTTTTATAAAAGGTTTTAAAAAAATTACTTTCTGTACAACAGCTTTGTAACAATCGTATAAAAAGCTACAATCATCCCAAATAGATCATAAGATTTTGTTTGGGATAATTTTGTTACTGTTTTCTAGAACATTATTTTTAGTAAAATTTTTCTTAAAATAGCAAGAAAGGAGTGGCCAAAAGTTATCCACAGTCTATATTGTTGTCTTAAAAAAAAAATAGCGAGAAAATTATCCACACAAATCCTTGTTCATGATATAATGACACGAATTTTGATGAACTTAAATATAATTATATTAATACTGAGATTAATATAACATAATATCAAAATAATATACTAATTTCAGCTTAAATCCATCAACATCAAAGTTTCATAACCTGCTATCTACTCGCAGATCCGAGATAAAAGGGGCGGCAACAGCTTAAACCCTAATTTCTCCCACTTCCCGCATTTTGTTTTCTCTGAAGGCCAATTTCTTGTTGATTGCGTTCGTCCTCTTCAACCCGTCTCAACAATTTCCGATCTTTTTCCAGGTAAAAAATGTAACTTGAATTCAATGCTTGCGGAATTTCTCTCACTTTGCCGGATTCTGGATTTGCTTTCGCCAATGCGGCGGTTTCTTGAATTTAGCTTCGCACCTCCGCAATTTGTTTGAAGATATGGCAATGAAGTTAGGGTTTTAGAGGTTTTTGAATTAAGGTGATGGTTTTAAAAACACAGCTTTTCGCCTTTTTCGCACCGCATATCTAACAAATCTGTAGGAGAATAGAATAGTTTTTTGGTGAATGAACCATATTACCGTGCTGCTGCTGCAACCTTTTCTTTCATGATTCAGAAGCCAAAAGCTTCTTTTTTTCTCCTTGTAAACTATTTGACAATGAGTTTGAAGTAGCATCACTGGCACTATTTCCTTTTTTTTTTCCTTACATTTTCAGCTTGTATATGAAGATTTGCAACAGATTGGTTCTTGAAGCAGCAATTCTTTCGCTTGATTTTTATGGAAAATGATTAATAACAAAATATATTAAAATCAGGGGATGTTTGTTCATTATTATATAGATGTTAAGGTTATTAAGATGTTAGTGTTGTTTATGTGAAACCCCTTAAGTGAAAGAAGTTAAACTCTTAAACATCGAGACGACTTTTGGTGTAATGGTTGGAATTTGATTAAGAAATTGTGCAGTTAAGCGTGTCATCCTGGAGCAATTTTGGGATGAGTGACCTACTGGAAATTTACACCAACATGACAAAACCGTAAGGCTCTTAGGCCAAAGTGGACAATATATCAATAGTTAAGAGTTTGGATTGTTAAAGTTTAGACATCTGTATTATCTGGCTAACATTGGTTGTTTGGTTCAATACTATCATATTTAGGGATTGTTTGGCTGCAAGTAGGATCCAACTCAAATAGTATTTTGGAAATCCCTTAAATCTACATTTAGTCAATCTTGAGAGGATTAAAGCCTGAAAATTATTTGGCATGATAATTGTTAAATCTTTAAATCAAGATATATATATATATGTAAGTATTTAAGATTTGTTAGAGAGTGAATTCCTTTAGTCCTTGTTGGGGTTTAACCAATAATGGCATTGAGATAAAAATTATCATAATCGTAGGATTTAAATCCCTAAAATTCTATCCGGCGGGATTTAAGCTAAATCTTTCCTAAATTCTGCTTAAAATAGGATACTAGACAGTCTGTAAATTCCTAAATCTTGCCTAAATTCTGCTTAAAATAGGATACTAGACAGTGTGTAAAAGATGTTTGCTCTATTGAGGTTATTTTTGTATCAGAAGTTTTAAAAAAACCTGCCATTTACATGCTGCTCATCTAGATGCTAGCAAAATGGAAAAGAAATACTTGTTAAATACTTTTTTAATATATGTTAGTAGCATAATATTGCATAACAAATTTCAACAAGCCAAATAGTGCTAAAATGCTTTGCTTTTGATGAGGATCTTTTTCTCCAAAATCTCTGCATCTCAACTATTATTTTCATACCAGTCTAGGTGGCTTTCATTTTCCATTGTTAGTTAGTTGTTATGTTTCTGTAGAAGTATTTGTAATATCTCATGTATTTGATATTAGTTTATTTTATCTGGACCACTTAAACTTCTATTAAGCTAGTATGGAGTAATTTAATGGCATGACATGGCAGGAAGTAACATTATGACTGAAGAAGTTGTTCCAGTTATGTGCTATCATGGCGGAAGAATCGTGATGCATGGTCGTAAACCTGAGTATAATGGAGGTTCTATGGAGGGCATTCTGATAAACAAGTCAACTTTATACCCTGATTTATTGAAGAAGATGAATGAATTAACTGCTACTGACCCTAAAAAATTCAAGTTGATCATGAAGTGTAGGTTTCCTACAAGCGGATCGGATTATGTAGCTTTAGAGGTAAAGGATGAAATGACAACTAAAATGATGTTTGGATTGTATCCCCGGGTTTATAGTTTGGAATTATTTCTGGATTGCTTCAGAATTAATGAAAGTGCTGAACTTGAAGAAAGAATAGTAAGAGAACCAATGGAAATGAGAGCTGAAGGTGGTGATTCTCTTAGTTCTTCAATGCATGGTACAAATAAGGACACTGTGACCAGCAACTCAAACCACTTACTCGATAATGCTTCTCAACCCAGGTATTAGGCCTTTCTACTTTGATAATTACTTGTGAGGATTTTTCACTTGTATCAAATTGACAAGGTGACAGTGCATTTTTATTACTTTCACAATAAATTTCAAGTGTTCATTCTCAAAATATGTTTCCTGTTTTTTTACTTCTTTTGTTTCATTTTATAACGGTCAAATTATTGTCAGGATACCTACCTGTGATATCCCTGGTAGGACTACACGCAGCAAAACTAGATGCTTGACCAAGTTGGGAGCAACGGGCCCTATTTGTGGTTTAAAATTTCCATTTGCTGAAGCAATTGCAAAGGATGGAAATCATACAACCGATCCCATTGAGTAAGTTTTTTTATTGCTTTGTATCACGAATTTTTTTATAGTCACATGGTTTAGATGGTACTTATCATGATAGACATGTTATTGATATCTCTAGAGTTGAGAATATGGAGGTGGATTCAAAAGACAATGGATCAGATTGGAAGATCTCTGATGAAGAAGATGCTGAAGATGAAGATGAAGATGATTTGGTTAGTGATTCGATCATAAGATACACTTGTCGAGGCTTCGAGGACGATCCTGCATCTGGCGATCGATTACTACATGAAGGTAAAATGTTCAAAGATAAGGAGGCTTTGAAGCAATCACTACAGGAGTACTCTATTAGAAGACATGTTGAATACGAAGTACTTAGATCTACCAAAAAGATATTCAATGTTAGATGCACTCAGAAGGGTTGTCCATGGCAAGTCAGATCAAGACTGGCCAAGCGTCTTCAAAGATTTAAAATCAAGTATTACGGCGGCGATCATACTTGCAGTATTTCCACATCAGTTGGTGATCACAAGCAATGTGATACTAAATTTATCTCCAAGTGTATATTGCCATTAATGAAGCGCAAATCAACAGTAACTCCTGCTGAGATCATAGTATGGATGGAAAATGAGTATAATATAAAGATCAGCTATTCAAAGGCATGGTTAGGATTGAACAAAGCTTTAAAGAAGATTCATGGCTCATGGGATGATTCATATACCATGCTGCAAGAGTATCTGAATGCCATCCAGGAAGCCAACCCAGGAACCGTGATACAATTACTAACGAACGAAAAGGGGGAGGTTAGGGAGTTTCACCGTTTGTTCTGGTCGTTTAATGCGTGCATAGAGGGCTTTCGACACCTACGACCATTGATCACCATCGACAGCGCAGAACTACATGGTAAATACTCTGGAAGTCTTTTGGTTGCAACCGGCGTTGACGGTAATGACAGTCTCTTCCCTCTCGCATTCGCTGTTGCCGAGTCCGAAACCGAGGAAACCTGGACTTGGTTCTTGGGATGCATTAGAAGCTCTGTAACAGATAGGGATGATATTACCATCATTTCTGACAGAGGGAGAGGGCTGGTGGAAGCTGTAAAGGCTGCATACCCATCCAGATTATCAAGCCACAGATATTGCATGAGGCAGCTTTCATGCAGCCTTAGAAAGGAATTCAAAGATGAGACACTGGTGAATCTCTTCTGGGAGGCTGCGAAGAAAACCGAGGCTTGCGAATATGATGAGACCATGAAGATACTCGGCGACCGGAATCCAAGTGCAAGAGCTTGGCTGGAAAAAGTTGTTGCAGAGAACTGGTCATTTGCACACGATGGAGGAAAACGCTTAGGAATTATGACTACCAACATTGTTGAAACTTGTGATAGTCTTCTTAAAGGAGTAAGAGGGCTTCCTATAAAGGTACTTGTTGGAAAGACTTTGTCCCGTTTAAGCAAGATTTTCAGTAAACGCCATGAAGAAGGATCCAGAATGCTGGGTATGATGACTTGCAGTGTTGAATCACAACTGAATGAAATTGTGAACTTGGCTGTGCAACATATGGTGGAGCCATATTCAGCCACAATCTTCAAGGTATATAGAGTAAATCATCGAGTACATACTGTAAACACAGAGGGCTACAGTTGTACATGCAACAGGTTCTTGATTTCCTGCATTCCCTGCGCGCATATCGTCGCGGTTTGCATGAGCTTGCAGATTTCATATTACAATCTGTGTGCAGAGTACTTCACCTCCAATGGCTATAGAGAGACGTATAAGGTGAAGCTGAATGGTGTTGGAGAGGAGACTGGTTGTCTTTCTGTGGAAGGAGGGACGCCCATTACACCACCAGCAATGGCAAGGAAGCGAGGGAGACCAGCTTCTGTGCGGATAAATAAGGGCTTGCCGCCTGCAACCTATCGCTGCAGTAAGTGTAAGCAGGATGGGCATAATTTTAGAACTTGCAAGTCTCAGCCTGTCAGTGAAATTCAGATTGAGAACAGAAGTTGTTCACAAAATGGTATTGATGAACGTGTAACTGATTCAAGAGAGAAGCTTCAGAGTAGGCCATTTTGATTTTGTGAAAGCAGATTGTTGGCGGTCATCTGCTTACCCAAAAGCTGTTGTTAAGAACTTTTTTTTTTTTTTGAAGAACTTTCAATGGTTTTTTCTTGAGGTGGAATTTTATGTTGTGAAATGGGGATCTGTTCTTGTTGATCGCCATTTATTAATGTTTTCTTCTGCTTACCACATTTGTTGTCAATTCTGAAAGTAGAAGTTCTAATCTGGAGAGTGATAGAAGAGGGAGGGGGAGATGTGAATGAGGAGAGAGGCGTGAGGAGAACATATAAGAGAAGAGAGAGAGATGGAGGAGAAATTATTTGGTGTGATCAACAGACGGTTTGGAGGAGAATCAGAATGCATCATGTCATTTGATATACAACAAAAAGTGATGTGACGGATTCTGATTTATCTCTGGACAGCATTCGGTGATGGGGTGACCGCACAGAATAATTTCTCAAGATCAAGAAGAACATAGAAAGGCTGCCACAACTTAGGAAGAGGGGGGATTTTTAATGCAATATTCAGTTTATTATGATGCAATCACTTAGATTTTATTTGTGATAGTTTTTTTATTGTTTCTAAAAACATCTTTTTTGTACACAAATTAAAATATTTGTATTAAAATTTTATTTTAAGAAATAATAAAAAAATCATCCCAAACGAACCCTTAGCCTTCAGCTAAAAAAAAAGTGTGTTAGTGCTAATTGCACTGTTTGATTTGGGTTTGAGATTTTAAATATTATTTTGAAGCTCTGATTTTCTTTTAAAAGGAAATTGATTGTTTTCAAACTTTAATATTCAAAGAGAGAGAGAAAAAGAGAGGAGGTTGAAACAATGATGTGCTATAAACAGGATGGCAATTAAAAAAGATTTGATCGGCAACATAATTTTTAAACATTTATAAGCTCTTTTACATTTGTTTTTCATCTTTTTTTTTTTATTATTTGTTGTACATTCTTATTACACATGTTTATGCTTCTACAAACAAGAAATGCAAAATTGTCTTCTTAATTTTTTTTAAAATCATTTTAAAATATTTTGAGGCTGAAATTATGGCTAAAAAATTCAATAAATTATTATAATAAAATTATAAGCTTAATTTTATTTTAATTTACAAACATCAGTAGCTCAAAAAATATTTTTATGCCAAAGTATTATTATAAATATGATCATTTTACAAAGGGTAATTCTAAAACTATACATATCAAAATTTTTCCTCTCCTAATTATAAGTTTTAAAAATTTCTTGTGGATATCATAAAACTTTAATTAATTCAAAATTAGGCAATTTCAAACATTCGATTTCCCTCGTTGAAGATAGAACCAGTAATTTCGACGACTACGAACACACACAAATGATATATTACAAATTTAGGCTTCATTAGAATCGATTTTTTTTACTACTTAAAACAACTTTCTAATAAAAAATTAAAATGTTTATACTATAAAACGGCTTTAAGAAGCAACAAAAAAACTACCCTAAATGAAACCTTATGCTCGTGTGAGTTTGATGTTTTGTTTGGGCAAACTTTCTTACTGCTTTTTAAAAGAACTTTTTTTATACTAAATTTTCTTTTCCAAAAACTTCTTATACTAAAAAACTGTTTTATAAAACACTACAAAAGATGTCACAAATGAAACCTAAATAGAATTGTTCTTAATATCATTCAGCTCGTATTATCAAATAATATTATGACAATTATAAAATAGCTAAAAAAAATTAAGAGTTATTTAAACAAAATACTTGGGGCACTCGGAGACTTTTTAAGATTCCAAAAGAATGTCAAAAATCAGATAAATTTTTTTAATGGCGTAGCAAAAATAACATCATGACATCTTTTTTATAGACAATATTCCATGGCTTCAATAAGAAGCTCTGAATAATAAAGATAAAATAAGAAATAAACCAAACAGAAACAACTAAAATGCAATTAAGATTTCGTTCAGGACAGTTTTCTTCCTGCTTCTTAAAACATCTTTCTAAAAAACTGCTTTAAGAAGCAGTAAGAAAGCCATTCCAAACGAAACCTTAGCCTTTATGTTTGATAACAGGAATAATGCAATGGAGTTCCTTATTCTGATCTAACAAAAAAAGAAAATTTCAATCAAATAAACAGTCAACAGCTGCATTGTTCAGCATTTTACATGCAACAGGACTTTCTTATTTCAGAACTACATTGTTCTTACAAAATTGTGATACAATAAATGGGAAGAAATGCCTTTTCTCTACTGAAATGCAACTATCCTATCTGCTTAACTTTAGCAAATGAAATTAAAATCAAGATACTAAGGATTCGTTTGGGAGAACTTTCTCATTGCTTTTTAAAACAACTTTCTAGCACAAAAATCTCTAATTCAAGAAATTTTTTAACTAAGTTGTTGTTTTAGAAAGCATTAAGAAAGCTGTATCAAACGAAGGCTAAACTAAGTTCAGCACTAAATTCTAAAACTGCAACAGTGTTGATTTGTATTGTAAATAGACGGCAGTGAGAAAGATCAATGTAGCAGGGAGCAGATTGAAGTTTACTTCACTTCACTGTAGCCTTTATGTCTAATGTTGTTAGTTATTCTCATGAGAATCTCTTGCAGACTACTGATAAAAACTGATCTAGAAGATCAAAACCTCTTAGGATGAGATATGAAACGAAAGCAACATAGATAGCTAAGATAACACATATTATAGAACCAAATAGTAGGCCGTTAACTTCAGATGAGAAAAAATTCAGAAGAAGATAACCATTAATTATAATCAATAGAGCGGCTACAACCCAAGTGACTACCTGCAGAAGAAGGAAAATGAAATGTGAGAATTGGAGGTTCAGAAGTTACTCAATTTGGACTGCTATAATTATAAGGCTGATGCAGTAAGATGGTGAAATTTCGGAAGGGCGGTTATATCTTATTTATGTGCATTACTTGAAAAATTCAGCTTAGAACATCAGATGAGATTAGTTCGGAGCTAATGGGCTATAACATTCATGTGGAATAGTGCAATGTTTTGTGTTGAGCAAAAAAGAATCAAAGTATGACTTCATTTGGGACACTTTTGATCATTATTTTTTTTCCTATTTTCAGGAGTTCTTTTGTGCTAGAAAGCTGCTGTAGAAAGCAGTAAGAAAATTGCCTCAAACGAAGCCTGTGTCTAGCATAGCAAAGTTTAAATACTTAAGAACTATTTTTTTGAAAATGAAGGGAATTTTGTATAAAATTCCTAAAAAACTTTTTTTTTTATTGGAAAAATGATAATATTTCAAGGCTTTGTATTAATGTATATAATGTGTAAACATGAACTAAGCCTTTCACTCCATCCATTGTTTCTTCAAATCCTAACATGCATCGCTAAGTTTCCCTATGCACGCCTACATTTCTTGAAACCCTTGCATTAAAAATAAAGGTCTTTAATAAACCTGTGATAGAAACCCACAGGTTTATGCTCATCTAAAATACCGCATGAGCATTGAGGAGAACATTTTGACTTTCTGTGGTATGGTATTGATTTAGTAGTTTCAATTTTGTAATTTTCTACTTCATTTGATGTAGCATGTCATGATGATAATGCCTGCGAGACTGCGATGTCCTCTAATTTGATTCCTTAGTTCAATCAGAATCCTGTGCTGTTCCCCTTCACCCGCTGATTCACTATCCCTTCAGCCATGGCTTTTAAGTGACTACCTTCTTTGGCAGCTATTCTTTGTTTCCCTATATGATAATCAATGTATCCAACTACTATAAATTGATATCAACGACTAGTTTTTTTCATTGTAGCAAAAATAGAAGTTGCTGATTGGGTGACTGTAGCTGGAGTCTCTATGCGATTGCTGCACTATTTCCCAATTTGATTCCATTATGACTTTGGAACAGTTTTGCATTATAGCTAGAATAGGGATTGTTTAAATTATGACTCTGTAATTTGATTCCATTGCGACTTTGGAATAGTTTTGCATTATAGCTAGAATAGGGATTGTTTAAATTTGGAACAGTTTTGTTTTCCCCGGATTTTGATTCTACTAAACTATTAATTTGAGAATTGTTTATTAGGAATAGGATTACTGAGATAAGTAAAAATTGAAAAGATTGCTTAATGAAACTAAGATTTCCGTTCAAATTTGAATTTATCGTGCATATGAATTGTTTGGATGTGATACAAGTATTGACAACTTCGGCAAGAAGATTTTTTTCCTTGTTCTTGTCTGAAGCCAAGATCTTCTTTGGTGATTTGTATCATTGCCCTTTTTTCATCCACATATTTTCGTATTAATTTTTTCAAATGTAATTGGGATTTCATCAACATATGCTACAAGCTTATCTTTAAAATTATAGTGTGAGTCTTAATCAATTTTTCTTAGATTTCTTACAATATTTATTTTAACAATCTTCAAATCATTGTTTGAAGCAAACTTTAAGTGGTTTTTTTCCCATCAAATAGGACCAAAAGTGGACTGTAAATTTGATTGCAAGAATTTTTGTGCATCCTAACTTAGATTGCATTAAGGAAAATCTATTAAAAGCCATCCTGCATAAATTTGGTATCAATAACCAAAAATATATCACAAGCATAATGAAATTAATTTTAGTGAATGATTCCAATTATTACTTCTAGTGAAAAGAAGAATAGGGAATGTCAAATATTTTATAGGAATTGCAGAACAACTTTCCAAAGATGTATCAAATTACAATTCTTTAGAAGCTGATAATCTATTGTCATGGTTTCGCTTATAACTTTCATCATGGAGTCAAAGTTTGGAAGAACCTACTTCTTCTACAAAACTATAAAGGAAACCAAGGATGCTGCCTAAAAAATCTAATCTGATCTAGAAAACACAGCCCAGCGTTCTGAGAATAGATCTAAAATAAAAAATACCCAGAAGTAACAACGATGTCACCAAACACTACAACTCCTTGCTTGAATTTTGGCAGGAAATATATCTACTCTATGAAGTTGAATGGAGTTGTTCAAGTGATAAAAAAATATAGAAAAATATTAGAAAAAGAGCAGATATTTAAATTCCTCTTAAGGTTGTAACTCTGATCTAGATGAGATTTGGAGACGATTACTTGGAATGCAGAATTTTCCTATAGCTGAAGCAAAAAAAAAAAGACAAAAAAGAGTAATGATGAACCAAACACCATACTCATTAGATACACAATACTCCGACGCTTGTAGGATCCACAACAATGACCGCCAATAAGTATAAAGGTCGAAGCTCTCAAGCTAAAGAATGGTATGAGCGCTATCACAAACCATATCACACCTTTGATCAATGTTGGGAGTACATGATAATCGAAAAATTGGAAGCCTAAAATCCAAAAAGGGACGAAGCAAATAGCTCATATCACAAAAAAAAAAATCCCAAAAAGTCTCTTGATTTTACATTTGAGTAAATGGAGACGCCTCTCCGTCTACTTAGCAAAACTACAGGCACTCAAGAAGCAAAGACGCATATGATTGGCTTGGCACAATAAGGTAATACAAAGTCATTCTGATACCGGAACTTAGGATTCCGGCCGACGAGAACTACTCCGATGCAATCTGTTCAAACCAAACAACCACCACCTGGAAACGAAGACGTTACCAGGATACAGAAACAGAGTTTCTTGAACTCCAGAGAACCATAAGGAACTTTATTCAATTCTTTGAAAAATCACCAATGTACCTGTCTAGCCGGCAAAGATCAAGTATTTATACAAGTTACAGCTACAGGCTAGGCTAGAGAACCGAAAATACCAAAAGGAAAAGAAAATGAAACAATGCTAATCAAAACAGAGCTGTAAACAGTAAAACAGTAAAAGCTAAACAGAGAACTTGGACAAGCTCCGGCGTCATTCTTCCGGGGTTGGAAAAGCCTCGTTCTCATAATGTGGAGTTAAGTCGGCCACGTTGAACACAGCCGAAATGTTGTAGTCCCCTGGTAGATCTATCAGATAAGCGTTATCATTGATCTTTTTGACGACACGAAAAGGTCCATCAGCCCGGGGTTTTAATTTGTTGAAAGCTTTAGGTGGAAATCGCTCTTTTCTTAATCTAATCCACACCAGGTCCCCTTCATTGTATACAATCTGTTTTCTATGCTTGTTTGCTTGAACCCTATACCTGTCATTTTGCTTATTGATTTCCTCTTGAACTTGCTGATGCAGTTTTTGAATCTCCTTACTTCTTTGTTCACCATCAGGATTATAAGCAGCCTGTTGCACTACTGGAATTAAATCCAATGGCGTTAAGGGATTTCGCCCATACACTATTTCGAATGGGCTTCGCCTGGTAGTCTGATTAACCGAGCGGTTGAAGGCAAACTCGATTTGAGCTAATATTAAATCCCATTGCTTAATATTTTTTCCCACAAAGCATCTTAGCAGATTACCCAGGCTGCGATTGACGACCTCCGTTTGCCCATCCGTTTGCGGATGAGCAGCTGAACTGTACTGCAGGCGGGTTCCCAATTTTCCCCACAAGGTCTTCCAGAAATAACTCATGAATTTTACGTCTCTATCGGACGTAATAGTCAACGAAATGCCATGTAATCTTACTATCTCCCGGACGTATAAATCAGCAATGTGACTCGCGTCCAAAGTCTTGTGGCAAGCTATAAAATGCGCCATCTTTGAAAATCGATCTACCACCACCATGATCGAATCTTTGTTACGCTGAGTATGGGGCAGTCCCAGCACAAAATCAAGGCTGACATCTTCCCAAGGCGCTTTAGGAACGGGCAATGGTGAATACAGGCCGGCATTGGTACCTTGGGTCTTGGCTAGTTGGCAAACACGACACCCCTGTACGTACCTTCCAACATCCCTTGATAATAACGGCCAATAAAATTTTTCTTGAATTAGATTCACGGTTTTGTCTCTCCCGAAATGCCCCATCAAACCCCCATCATGGCATTCGGTAATAATGGCTAACCGTGTAGAGCATCTGGGTATACAGAGACAATGGCCATAAAACATATATCCATCCTTGATATGAAATAGTTTATGGGGTTGGGACAGGCATTTATTCCATATTACTCGGAAATCTTCATCCGTTGAGTACAGGCTTTTAAAAGCTTCCATTCCCACAACTTTAGTCTGGATTGTTTGTAGCAACAAGTGACAACGGCTCAAAGCGTCAGCCGCACGGTTCAAATGTCCTGCCTTATGCTTTAACAAGAAATTGAACGCCGCCAGGAATTCCGACCACGTCGCGTGCCTACCTTTCAGCTTCTTCTGACTGTTTAGGAAGCGGAGAGCCTCATGGTCAGTGTACAGGATGAAATCTTTGGCCAACAAATAATGATTCCAATGATGCAAAGCTCTGACTATGGCATAAAATTCTTTGTCATACGTAGAATATTTTTGTCGAGCCTCATTTAGCTTCTCACTGAAATAAGCTATGGGATGCCCGTCTTGGCTCAAAACAGCGCCTATTCCCACGTTGGAGGCATCACATTCAACCTCAAAAACCTTATTGAAATCTGGTAGACTCAATACGGGCGCAGCTGTCATCGTTTTCTTCAGGAGCTCAAAACTGTTTTGGGCGCTACTTGTCCAAAGAAATGATTCCATCTTCAGGACTTCAGCAATTGGAGCGGCTATAGAGCTGAAACTCCTGATGAATCTTCAGTAAAAGGATGCAAGTCCATGAAATCTTCGGACCTCCGTGAACGACTGCGGAATCGGCCAATTCATGATCGCCTCAATTTTCCTTGGATCGGCTTCAATGCCTTTAGCCGAAATCACAAAGCCAAGAAATTCAATTTTATTATCTAGGAATTGGCATTTTCCAAGATGGCCAAACAGCTTCTGTTCCCACAATTTGCAGAGCACCAACCTCAGATGCTGTATATGCTCCTCCAGGTTTTCACTGAAAATTAATATATCATCAAAATAAACAACTACGAACTTACATAGAAACGATTGGAATACTTGGTTGATGAGCCTCATGAAGGTGCTCGGGGCATTAGACAGTCCGAAAGGCATTACTGTCCACTCATAGAGTCCGTCTCGAACCTTGAAAGCAGTCTTCCACTCGTCCCCAGCTCGTAAACGGATTTGATGGTACCCGCTCCTCAAGTCGATTTTCGAAAATATTTTGGCGCCATGTAATTGATCAAAAAGGTCATCTATGCATGGAATCGGAAATCGATATCGGACAGTGATTTTGTTAATTGCTCTGTTGTCCATGCACATTCGATAAGACCCATCTTTGTTTGGAACCAGCAGCACTGGCACAGCGCATGGACTTACGCTAGGCCTAATAAAGCCTTTTGATAACAGTTCCTCTATCTGCCTTTGTAATACTTCATACTCATCTGGCCTAAGCCTGTAAGGAGGCCGATTGGGTAACACAGCACCCGGCACTAGCTCGATCTCATGCTGAATATCACGTTCGGGAGGCAGGCCGTCGGGAATTTCTACAGGAAAAACATCTTGAAACTCCTGTAAGAGTTTCTGGAGACATGGATGACTTACTTCCGTAGAAGGAAATATTTCCTTTAGAACTATCATGTAGCTTGTGGTGGTCTCCTGCAAAGCCTTACGGCATTGAGAGTAACTTATCAACAAGTCCTCTGTGGATTTGGTCGAGAGTTCTTCCTCTAATGGAACTAACACCACCGGACAACCATTGTAATTGAATGTATACGTATTCTTAGCACCATCATGAATGGTCTGGCGATCATACTGCCAAGGCCTCCCTAGTAGTAAATGGCAGGCGTCCATCGGTACCACATCACACCAAAGTTGGTCTCGATATTTACCGATCGAAAAGTTGACCAAGCACCTTTTTGTAACCCTGACCACATTATCCTTTTGAATCCATGCCAATTTATAAGGGTGAGGATGTTCTTCTGTCTTCAGCTGTAGTTTATCTATCATCGAGCTTGAAGCCACATTCTCGCAACTTCCGCTATCGACGATTACTTGGCACACTTTGCCCTGAACTGTACAACGGGTCCGAAAAAGATTATGCCGCTGCAAAAATTCTTCTTTCTGATTTTTGAGTAAACGCTGTATAACCAACATTGGCCCTTCATCTGCAGAAAGAATAGTAGGAACCGGCTGATCCACAACAACAAGACCAGTCGAATCTTCCCCATTGCCTTCGGTCTCTTCCCCTTCGTCATCTTCTAGAAGAGTAATTACATGCCGATTAGGACAGTTGGAAGCAATGTGACCAAAACCATGGCATTTGAAGCACTTCCTGGCTGGATAATTTGGGGTGTTACTCGGTTTCTTGACAACTTGAGCAGTCTCGGGAGTCTTCATTCGACTGCTGGAGTTCGCTTCATCCTTGCCGTTATTCCGCTCCTTGAATTCTCCCTTGAGCCCCCACCTGTTCTGCACAATTTTTGCTTTTCTCTGCTGTTTCTCCACCTTAAGAGCCAGGTTAATGACATCCTGTAATGTCCAATAAGTCTGCAGTTGAACGACATTACTGATCGCAGGCTGCAACCATTCCAAGAACCTTGCAATTGTGTTTTCAACAGGTTCAACCATATCACATTTTAATGTCAACTGTTCAAACTCAGCTACATATTCTTCCACCGTTAACTGGTTTTGCTGAATTCTTTGCAGCTTTAAGAACAGTTCTTGCCTATATTGCTCCGGTAAATACTTCCTTTGAAGCTCCTTTTTCATTTTGTCCCAGCTCACAATTTTGCTACGGCCCTCCCGGAGTCTTGTTCGCTTCAGGTTTTCCCACCACAATGACGCATTCTTTTTCAATTTAATGGCCACGAGCTTGACAATGCGATCAGGATGTACTTCCTTGAATTCCAAGATTCGATCTACGGTATGAATCCAGTTTATGAACTCGTCCGGATCTAATCTTCCCTCAAAGTCTGGTAAATCAACTTTGATTCCTCCGTCGTCATGCCTTGTCTTTCTCACTCGTTCTCGTGTCCGACGCCCTCCTTCTTCATCGCTGGAAGTGGCATGATAAAATGGGTTTACACCCTCTCCTTCCTCTTGATCATCAACAGCTTCTCTTTGTTCAAATCTTTCTAATCTTTGCTGCAATCGTTGTACTTCCCTTTGCAAGTCTTCGATCAGCACTTCTTGCACCGGACGCTGTGGATTACGACGAGGCGGCACCTTCGCCGGCTCTGATACCAAACTGATACCGGAACTTAGGATTACGGCCGACGAGAACTACTCCGATGCAATCTGTTCAAACCAAACAACCACCACCTGGAAACGAAGACGTTACCAGGATACAGAAACAGAGTTTCTTGAACTCCAGAGAACCATAAGGAACTTTATTCAATTCTTTGAAAAATCACCAATGTACCTGTCTAGCCGGCAAAGATCAAGTATTTATACAAGTTACAGCTACAGGCTAGGCTAGAGAACCGAAAATACCAAAAGGAAAAGAAAATGAAACAATGCTAATCAAAACAGAGCTGTAAACAGTAAAACAGTAAAAGCTAAACAGAGAACTTGGACAAGCCGGCGTCACATTCCTTAATCAAAAACCGAAACATGTTGAATAATTGATGCAGACCATCAAATCATATGATCAGATTGCCGCAAGTATCTAAAACCTACATTAAGATTCATCAGCCTATTGATGTTTGGGTGATTAATGGTAAGAAATCTTTAGTTGTGAGATGACGAATGATTCATATGATAGATCTCCTATTAAAGAGTTTTTTATATGTGCTTAAGTTAACTTATAATTTATTATATCATAGTACAATGGAAAAAGAAACGAAATATAAAATAACGTGTTATCCTTATTATAATTTTTAAGGCCAAACTTCAGTGAAAATTATTGGAAATGATAATTAAATTAATGGATTATACTACCTTCTTACTGCCAAACAACCTCAAACCTGCATAATAATGTGGGTCTCTTTTTCTCTTCAAATTCTAGTATTATGTTATGAAATAAGCATTTGAGACATCAAATTTTTACTATTTGAAATCATATATCCAAATTTATTTATCAACAAAGATAATATTTCCGTCAAACGTGAAACACGTGTTGATGCTAAAAATACCCCAAGTAACTTTTCACCACAACCATACAAACCATCCACAATTTTTCATCTTATTCAAAGTGACATTTGAGAATTTAGAAGAACTACTAATTTAGCAGAAACTTGGTGTTTATAACGTTTGCTGATAACCATACGCAATAAAATTTTGAAGGCTATAATGAGTATGATGAGGACATCGTCAGCGATTTCGACACGTGTACCATCGGAGACACAGGAGATCGACGGCCACGATGTCAATCACTTTTAATTTTCTTAAGAAGCTCCTTCGCATGTGGTTTCACATCAGAGTACCCCTGAAAGTGATTAGGGTTACAATGAAGAAAGTTATCTCTTAATTTATATCTATCCCACTTGATCGATACAGTCCAACAAGAAGCTATAAGTAGTACCTTTAATCCTACAACATTCTCAGCTAAGACTTGTTGTATTTGTACATATTGCATATTATCATGACTTTTCAAGTCTTATATTGAAGATTTGTTTCCAAATCATTAAACTCTCAAGCCTCTGATACTTTATTTTAGTGTTTCTACAAGTGAACTTTTTTGCTTTCAAGTAACACTCCAACCACATCTTCCAATACCTCTTCCATAGCAAATAACTAATGGACCTTTAAACACCATCACCTCGTAGTTGGTTAGATATGTGACCCGTTGTTTTGTTGACCTATAACTAATGAGTTATTCTTTCTACTTCTGAGTTTTCTAGATACATTGCTACCTCTGATATCTGAATAAGTGTGCTTTAAAGCCCAAGAGAAATGATATTCATGGCGTCTATCAAGCCTACCTTTGGAGCATATTTATTGAAAATAAATTGGGTGAGGATATCCAGACCAAACTTCAGTCAAGAAAGATTATAAAACGCTAGGAATTATTTTGATATGAGTGCAACAGAAGAGTTTTTTCATGTTTATTTCAATAGTCATAGTTTATTTGTTTATGTTTTTATTTTATGTCATTTCATTGCATCACTGATATTATTTTTAGAGCAAAAGACCCTTTCATGAAGTATTGTCATTTATTTAGAACCCAACTTTTTTTATGACTGTAAGTGATTTCAGCCATGTTAAGAATGTGCGAGGCTTTCTTCATCATCTAAGTGATTAAGAAAACTAGGTTATCCACCATATCTTCTTTCATCTCATTCCCTTTCTTTTCCTTTTTATTCTCAATCGGTTAACAAATGACATAGACATGAAAGTAGTTATTTCCATCATTCCATAAACCATCAAATTTAAGGATAAGAAAATCGTGAAGAGTTGATATTAAAAGTACTATGAGATGAATGTTTCGTTTGGGACAGCTTTCTTATTGCTTTATGAAGCAGTTTTCTAGTACATAAAGCAATAAGAAAGTTGTCCCAAAAGAAGTCGAAGTTGAAATACTAGTTTTTGCATGGTGCTATACTGCTATTCATGCAGTGACCTAAAATTAATGTGTCCTAATAGAGGCTTATTATTGCTCAAATGTACTACAAGCAAAAGATAAGAAGGAGAGAAAAAGAAGAATATGTTACCTTAGTTAGATGGCCAATCTTGAAATCTCCCATGACTTGCTCCTTTGATACCAAAGTAAGAAGAGGAATGAGGGCAAATGGAATTTGTACTGACTGAAGAACATTCAACCATTCATTCAAAATATCTAATGCATCATCAGAGGTGTCAAAAAAGAGAGCAACAATCATTGTTGGCACAATAGCAAAGCTTCTGGTTATCAACGCCCTGAGCCACTTCTTCAATCTTAGATTGAGAAATCCTCCCATAATAAACTGCCCAGCATAAGTGCCAGTAATTGTACTGCTTTGCCCTGCAGCTAATAGTCCTATACCCCATATATAGAGAATAGGCAACAGTCCTCCCCCATACTTCTGTTCTAAATACTGCCCCGCATTCTCAAGGCCAATACTGTCAGCATCTTTACTCCCATAAAATCCTTTTGCAAAAACAGTTGTCACAAACAAATTTATTATGAAGGAGATGATGAGAGCAACTGTTGACTCTATGGTATAATAATTTAGTGCTTCTTGAACACGACTTTTCTTGTTAGGATCAACCTTTCTTGACTGCACCAAGGCCGAATGCAGATATACATTATGTGGCATAATTACACAACCCACAACCCCCACCGCCTGCCTAATTGTTTTAGAGTTCAATTTAGGAATTAAAACACCTGCAAAGAGAACTCAGAGCTAAGCATAGTGAGAAATGTAATAGGGCTAGTTATCAATGTCTTTGTAAGAGAGCATTACCAATCAGAAGCTCCCTTCCACTGGGTTTGGTTTCTCCAAACATCCACGCAAAAGAAATGGCCATCGTTGATATGAGAAGTGCAAAGAAAGCTTCCAACTTTCTAACCCCATAGTTCTCAAGGAAAAGAAAGATGAAGCTGCCAAAAGAAGTAAAGAAATAAAGATATATAGTGTTTGATTAAAAAACAAATTTAAAACAACAGTAGACATGTATTCAGGAGCCCTAAAAAAAATTATTCATATGCTCATTTCAATTTACCAACAACTCAAAAGTCAAATGAATAGCTAAGAAAATAGTTAACATTATTGGACGGTCCTTTCCAACAATAACTAGATAACGAAAGCAAATGAAAGAATCAAGGAATAGTTTCACTTCAACCAAATAAATTAGTGATAATTCTCAAGCTTCCTTAATAACAAGGTAGGTTCCAAAATCCATTTTCTAGTTGAAATAATTTTTACAATAGCAAACATCAATCCATACTTAATCAACGGGAAAGCAATACTAAGGTACTAAGAACCAAAAGCGCCAACTTGGGAGGCGGGACATGCCTTTTTCACATAAGTTGCTAATTAATGGGAGATCTCTTAATATAACTTACAATTTCATATTTGCAGCATACATGAAATAACACAGCCAAATAATTTTCTTCATATATAGGTCAAACTAAACTTGCATAACAATAGTACCCCATAGGAATTCAAACAGCAGATTCCAAACAAATACAGCGTAAGAAATCCGGTTTTTAAACTGAATTCAAGCAAATAAAATAGTAGATTCTCTAAATTTTACTGAAAAAAAAATTGTAATTGCAGGTCAAGATCAAGAAGCAGAAAACATTATTCATCTACATCTCGAAGTATAACCTTACCAATCAAGCGCGGTGATGACCACGCCAGCCCAAAGTGGCAGCACACCGCGGCTAAGGATCTTGATCGCAATAGCGCTCCCAATAACCTCCTGTATATCCGCACCAATCAACGCCACCTCCGCCATAACCCACAGCGAAACCCTAGCCCACCATGGGTACTCCTCCCGACAATGCTCCGCCAGATGCCGCCCAGTCGCCACCCCAAGCCGCGCCGACAACATTTGGATCAAAAGCCCCATCATCGTCGCCCACATCAGCAACCAAAGCAGCGAGTATCCAGCAATCGCCCCGGCCTGGAGATCCCCCTCCAGATTCCCCGGATCCAGAAACGCTATGCTCATCAGAAACCCCGGCCCTGTGAATAGCCATAGCTTCCGCCAAGAGAAACGCCGTACCTCGCCTTCTCTCTCCTCATCTTCGGCGCCAGGAACGATGATCTTTTCGCTGGATTCGTAGGCCTTCTCCTCCTCCTCGTTGGGCTCCGGCGACCTGGAAGGAAGGAGAGTGTTGGCTTCCTCGTCGAAGGGAGACGGCATGGAAGTATTCCGGGAGCTGGCGCCGACGACGGTGGCAAGGGAAGCTACGAAGGAAAAGAAGCGCCGATTTTTGTCGGAGGAAGATGAGGGTGCGGGGAGGCTTATATCCACCGGCGTCATGCCTTCGGCCGCTGTCGACATCTTCCACCAATCCACCTGGTGCTTGTGCTTTAGGTGGGACCGAGGATTTCCTGTCCTCGGTGAAATTTTGGGAATTTTTTATTTTATTAAGGTAGTGACTGTTTTTTTAATAAATGATTTTTTATCACTAATATGAATTAATTATATACATATATTAATTGAAGTGAGTTTCAAATTTATGTGATTCCACCTCTTTTCTTTGCAATGATTTTTTTTATTTATTTTAAATAGTATACTCTGTGGACAATAGTCACTCAAATTATTAGGTATAGAGTCAAGACATAGAGATACATTCGGACTCCAATAAAATATTGACACCTGGAGGGGACATGTGGATTTATTTTTTTTACTTTATATATTTAATGTGTCCGCAGAACTTTAAGTCAAGCGTATGTAAAGCGCAGTCAAAACACGGGTAAAGTGTAGTTAAAGCACAGTAAAAAAGCGCAACAAAAGAGCAATCAAAGAACAACTAAAGCACAAGTAAATTGCAAGTAAATCACACAAAAAGATGCAACCAAAGTGCACTACATGTGTCAAATTTTAAATGGATGTCCGAACGTAGAGATATGTCTGAACTCCACACCTAATAATTTATGCTCATTTTGATTGTTTTCAACTTTATAGTTTTTTCTCCAATCCTTATATAGAGAGCTCTTCTTTCTAAATATATATATCTTCTTGATTTATATTATGAGTCGTGTAACTTCTATGAGTTTATTTCTCGGCTATGCATTGTTGCTCTTCTCTCTCTATATCTCTTCGCGCAAAGCCTACAAACCCTAACCTAATAAATGTGGAGTAAAGCATTTTCTCTCCCTCCCCGAACATGTAATCCAACATCCTCAAATGAAAATACTTTCTTAAATTTCATATTGTTGGATATGGGAACTTTCCCCTTCCCTAGATCAGTAATACTTCATATTAAGATAGCTTCAATATGAATGATCTTTCCTCTTGCACAAAAGATTGGGATTTATTCCTAGATATGTTATTGTTAAAAGGCCATTCTATAAGTCTCTTCTCTTTATTGTAAAAGCTAGAAATAATTTGGATCTTATTACTTTATCAAAATATTTCTTTTATTTTAAAATTTTTATCATGAGGATTTTAAGCCTGTATGGATGGAGGTCCCTAGTCCATTAATGAGAAACCATTCATTTTCAAACAATGATAATCGGATTTTAATAAGAACCTCTCGATAAATAGGGTCTCCCAAATCGGGAGAGTGCTAATGCCACCTCTCTTCTGAACTCTTGTCGCAGCTTCTAGTATCAATCACTTCTCATCGCTAACATTAAATAGCCATTGCGACAAATAATATGTGCCCCGCCTTCTTTAAACATATGCTAATTCCCTTTTCCTCTTTCCTTTAATCATCTACACTGTCCATTCTTTCATCATTCTTAAGCCACATACCAACCTCATAACCTTCCCCCCTAAGGCCCTAACCTCAAGTTTTGCATAATAAGACATCTTGTATTATGTCCTTCACTACACTTGTTGGAATGTAAGGGACCCTATGTGAGAACAGATAATTTCTCATTGCAAATATAGTAATAAGAAAAATACTATTTTACTTGTTATGCCTTCTGGAGTCTAAAGTTAATGTTGATTGTGATGTTGATCATATATCTACCAGGATACTTCAATTTTTCTCTAATGAAAAAGGCTATCACAATTTCTCAACCTCCAAGGAGGAAGAATTTAAGTTAAATAGGATTCTTCACAGATTAAACATATCCCTTTATTAGTAAACCAAAAACTAATTCATGGCCTTATTGAATTCTACGGTTCAACTAAAGTTTTGTTTGGGACGGCTTTCTTACTGCTTCTTAAAAGTTGAAATTTTTGTACTAAAAAGTTGCTTAAAGAAGCAATAAGAAAGCCGTCGCAAACGAAGTCTAAATCTCTCTTAATAGTTATTTGAATACCAAAAAACTTAAGGTTGAAACATTCATAATATCATTATTAGATGTAAATAAGAGTGACTTTATCTTTTCATATTACACATTTGAGCATTTGAATTTTAATTTTACATAATGCACCTAAATAAATAAAATTCAAATTGTGACTGCCTCCCCTCTAATGAATTTTTTAAATATCTGGATGAATTTTTCTAATATATATGCATGCACTATACATAAACAATAAAAAAATGCAGTACAAATGTAATGCACGATTGAAATGCCTTAAATGAAATATGTAACTGGTTAGTCTCTATATTATATAGCACTCTGCACTGCAAAAGAACAAGAAGAAACTTCTAAAACTCCCAAATTCCAATTTTTTTATTGTTGGTAAGAAAATAATGAATGGGACAATTTCATATGGAATCCAAAGAAGCTTAGTCAGCTGCCCAAATTGGACGGTCTGTGATAGTTCTTGTTACTTTGTTAGTAGTGCGGCATATGGAGAGAGCATCCATAGCGCATGAAAAGGATAAGGAGAGAAAAAGAAGAATATAATATGCTTGATGGAGTGCAATTTTTCTAATTATTTTGATAGGAAAATAAGTAGTTCCAAGAAATTACTTATTCTTCTAATTTATTCAATCTGTAATTTTGAGATTTGTTTACTTATCGGGTGATTAGTAATGACCACTAAAAAGCTGGAGATGATAATTGAAAAGTTGAAATTAAGCCTTCTCAAATGAAAATTAGCTATGGTCAGAAGGGTTGAAGGGTTGAAGGCTTCATTGAGAATAGCTTTCTTGATGCTTTATAAACTAGTTTTTGCTAAAAAGCTGATTTAGAAGTAGCAAAAAAATTGTCCCAAACGAAACCGAAGACCATCAGATGATTTGACTTACAAGATGAGCATATGGATAAAAGAATTATGCTTGAATTTAGAGAAGGAATAAGAGAAAAGAATAAAGCTGGAAAAAAAAAGGAATAAAAGTTTTAGATCAGATTATTATCTTTAAACTAACAGATGATTATCTCTCTTTTGCAATAAAAAATATAGTTGAATTCTACTTAATCATGTATCTCTTCTATATTCATTCAGGTGCTCTTATTCTGAATTATTGCCCCTCAATCTCAATATTTGATGGAAAAAATTTACATCAAATATCATGACAACATTTTAAAAAATCATTTGTAATGCTAATCTCAATATAAATTCAAGGACTCTAAAGTCCATTCTGACATATTTTGCATCTTAATATATCTACATAAATTTTTCCCTTATTTAATTGCTATGGAAAGCGCAATTCCCAACACGATAGAGTTGATAGATATAAGTGAGGGGCATAAAGAGAAACTTTAATTTAAGTGAAGAATTTATTAAAGCACAGATTGCAATCTCAACAAGATAAATAAAATACAGAATTAGATATATTTAGTTAATACTTGCAAGACTTACTAGATTGAACTTTGCATTGCAAATGTTTTTTCAGTGGAATTTACATATATACCATTGAATTTTTATATATGTATATATCTACCACTTAAATCACATATAGCAAAAATTATCTCAAATGCACACTAAGGCTTCGTTTGGGACGGCTTTTTTATTGCTTCTTAAAATTGCTTTCTAGTTTAAAAATTAAACTTTTTATATTAGAAAGCTGCTTTAATAAGCAGTAAGAAAGCCGTTCCAAACAAAACCCAAATATTTAATGTTGAATATTATAATTTTTTAAGAGACTAAACTCGTTAAAAGCCTATGTATATTACTATGTCAGAGCTTAATTAACTAATAATAAAAAAATACACCATGCATTGCCCTATAAGTTTATCAACTTAATATCATGAGCATACCCAAAGATCAAAATCTAGGCAGTCATATCACTGTGAGACCCAGAGATCAAAACAAGTACAAATAAAAGCGTACCTTTTATTGGGCATAATTTTCACTGCCTTCCCTGCCTCAAAACCATCAAATATCCGTTTAGCTCCGCACTTAAGCAGTCACCTTATATTCGCAAAATAAAATTATAAGAAAAAAAGAAGAGAATGTTCCAAGTCAATAATATAAGAACTGCTGAAATTTGTAGAAACGCTTCATAGTATGAATTTAAAATATTATATCCCTACAAAGAAAATATTTTTGTTTTCAAATCAATGAGTTTTGGTGCTCCAAATGGTTTGGATTCATCCCAATACAAATCTATAGATGAGAAATCAATCCTCACTTATAATTCCCTCTGGACATACTGAGGGAAATTTTTAATTCCTTCGCCAGCAAAGACTAGCTGATGCAGAATCCCAAAAGATATTATGCCACAGTATGATAGCCTATGGGAAATTATTATGTGTGGACACCGAACGTAGAGAATCATCAGGATTGTTGAGTATTTGTTGCTTATTTACTGTGTATTTTAAAATACGAAGTAAATACTTAGCAAATTCTCCGTTGTGAGTATTTGCTGAGTATTTAGTAAGTTTTTGATGAGTTTTTTTTAGTATTTACTGAGTATTTATTATATTTTGCTGATTTGCTACGTATTAGTTGCTTATTTATAGTGTATTTTAAAATACACAGTAAATAAACAACAAATACTCAGCAATCCGAACGATTATCTACGTCCGGAATCCGCACAGAATAATTTCTACTTCTTATGTAGATTTAAAGTTGATTCTTACTATTTCTGTGCTTAAAGAATTGAAACTCGTTGCATTTTAACAGATCTTCGTAGATTTTAAGAGGTTTTTTATTTGAGTTATTTATAGGCTACAAATAGGATGCTTAAGCATAAAATAATCAAAATGAACGTATCGTGTTGAAATAAAATTCCAAGTTTTCCTCTATTCTTATGCAAGTGTTTTTTGCATGTGTGTCTTCTACTGTTTCACAGTTGCACGCAACCACCTTTATGGATGAATCTTCTTGTACCTGCGTGGGTCATGATTCTTCCTTCGGGTGATTTCTGTCACTGTTCTTTAATCTATCAAGATACGTACCAAAATGTTTTTTTTTAAAGATGAACTTAATTGTTACTAAAACTCTGTGTTTGGTCACAACACAATTTGCTTATGGGATTTCCAAAA